TATTGGTAGACAGAGAGGACAGTTACCAGGTGAGGGAGCATCAGGAAGAAAATCAAAGGGCAACAGGTTATGTTACTCCTTCTCATTTGCCATCTTGGCCCTATTTAAAAAGAAAGAAAAAACAAAGCACAGGCTAGCTCTGACAATCTCAGATGGCCAGTTGTGACAACTACATTTAAGATATATCCTGGCCCAGACTTGTCCAGGACCCAAAATAAATCTGTCTGGGCCTATCAGAATTTCTGAATTGAGACTAAAAGTAACTTAAAATAATTTCTCTCCTCATATCCTCTTAAGGTGAATTTTTAAGGATCGTGCATCAGCATTTTCACTTAAATGGAGCTAGAATCAGAAGAGGGGAATGACTGGGAAGCCCCTGTAAAGGCAGGTGCAAATTCTGGGCACCAAGCAGGGGTCTTACGGGCTCAAAAATTACCATATTTCTGAGGTTAAATCAAATAAATAAAAATAGCAGCAAAGCATTAATTTCTTTAAAGAGAGTTATATACCAAATCGCAGGAGAATTTATTGGCACATCTAATACGAGAAAAGAAAAGTTATATGTTTACAAGGCTAAGTTACAAATAGGAGGCAGAAGGAAAAAATTCTGGTCGCTATTAGTTTTTATTCCAAATTACATCTGTTCATTAAGAATAAATAGTTTTAAAGAAAAACCTAGTCCATAATCCTAACAGAAAAATAAAACAAATTAGAAGTATGTAAATTATATATTTTCATTAAACAATATTAAAATAGCTGCAAGTAACAGTTAATATGGCTATATATACATGGATGTTTATAGATGAAATTTTGCTTATATTCTTGCACCAACATTTTAGAAAATATTAAGATAATATTACCTTTACTACAGCAAAAGTAGTCTAGCTAGCATTCTATCATCCATATTTCACTAAGCTACAATGTAATGGTTATTGGTGTTTATAATTTGGGGTGTATTAAAAGATCTCCAAATGCTTTGGGGTAATCAAAGAAAGGCAAAATACTTGATGGTTTTTAATCTTTAATGGTGAGTTATTTTATAATCCTTTGGGTCATGAAAATTTGGGAAATCACATATGGTATAGAAACATTCTCTTAATCAGAACATGTAATTAACCAGAAAAATACATTCTCTAAGCTTGCAGATAATTTATGAAAAAGGAAACGTGGCCAGCCAGGGCTAAACATTTCCTCTTTTTATAAACCTTGAACTGAGTATGTCCTTCACCAATTATATAGAGTCCCTAGGGCCTCAGAACTTTCCACAAGCAATTAGGTCTCTATGGCAATGCTCCTGGCTGCTGAAGTGGAACACATGACAAAAGCGGCAGCAGGCACTGGGCAACCATGGGGAGAAGGTCTGGCTGCAGAAAACCACTCAGGGTCTTCTTGAGCATCTTGGACTGACTGGCTGCTCTGCCTTATTTGGAATCTGCAGAGCCACCAGGTTGGCCTGCCTTGACTTCCCACTTGGAAAGCCAGTGCAGCACACCACCAGGTGGTAGCTCTGAGGCATGGGTGCTTCTGATGGCTGTCGTGCTGGTGGTTCCCTTAGGGACCTCACTTACGTTGAGGCTTAAGCTTCACCCTTGTCTCACCTCAGAGGCTATGACTTAGGTGAAAAGAGTCCATTATACTCAGTCCCCTGGTCTCATGCAGCCCTTCACCATCCCTGTTCAAATTACACTCCAGGGCGGCCGGCGGCGCCAGGGGAGGTAAGTCACCACCAGAATCTCTCAGCCTATAGTGGGCATCTCACTGAACAAGTGGCCGCTCTCTATACCAAAGTATCTATATTGTTTAGCCATTATTATTAACCACTTTAAGGGTTAATAACCTTAAGGAGGGAAGTGAGATTATTAAGTTATCTTGAGGACCTCTTTTCTCCCCAGGGGAAATGCAAAGCAGAGCCTTAAGTGAAGCTGCACTCCCTCTCCAGTCCCCAGGTTTGGGGCAGTGGAGTAGAAGAAGTGGGTGCTGAAGTTGAGAGAAGAGCAATGTCTGAAGGTGTCTGCAGAATGGCATATTAAAAGATTGCCAGCTTACTTCTGGGAGGGGTACGTTTCACAGCCAAGTTCACTCACTCTATCTGGAAGCCGAGGTGATTTTTTAGTGGTATAAGTGGAGTTGGGAGCTGAAAAAGTAGGAACAGTAAGGATCACAATGGTTATCACATTACCCACCCCCAGGAGAGTGAGGTATAGGTATTTGGATGAATGTGAGAGTTCGAGGAGGAAGGAACAGACAGACTAAAGAGGAAATATCAAGAGAGGGGCAAAAACACTTCTCTCCTAGAAATGAACTAATGCTTTTGTGAAAAGACAAAGTGAATCACTGCAAGGCAGAAGATCAAATGACAAACTTGCAATGGAACAAGTTTTAATGCCCCCATCCTTAACATAATTAACTAGGTAGAGCAGTCGTGTACTCCCCAAGCAATACAGTATTTTCATTTCTGAAATGCACAATTGGATTATTGATCTCTCCCTTTACCAGCCTCAATGAGCCACTTTGACTTTATTTAACCTCATTTGCTGTTTCAAAAGAAATTGTTAAGTAATTTTGTAATTAAAAATAGAAGGGTAGGGAGTGGCTCCATAGTGTAGTGGTTAGCATGTCTGTTTTACATGCGGAAGGTCCTGGGTTCGCATCCCAGGTGGAGCCACAGACCATACGACGGGTGCCCCAAGCCCCCCGAGTGTGCCGGGAGTGCCAGGCCAGACCCTGCCATGAGTGTGTGTGGAAGGAGACGCCCCACCTTCAGAGATCCAGTTCTTAAGGGCAAACGGCAACATATATAGGTCAGGGGTGGAAGTGGGGTGGGGGGAAGTAAAGATGGGGAAAAATAGAAGGGTAAAGTTAATTACCCAAATATACTCTGCCGCACAATTAAATTTAAGGGAAATATTAATGTAACATACCCAATGCTTAGAAGTTACATACACGTGTGAAATGAGTGTCAGATGAATTAACAAGGTTTGATGAACCACAGCATCTTTCTAAGGAACACTTTTTGCACAAGTTACAGTGTTGGAGAGAGAAGCTGCTAGCTTCTGCCAGGATCACACCAGATGAGCGTGTTCAAGCTCTTTGAAACTGAGTTTGCCTCAGGCTAAGCCAGAAGGCACCTGTAGCAATGTGTAGTAGGCAGAGCTGGTGGATAAGTCAGTTCTGTCTGCAGGGGAGACAACAGGAGAGAGTGGGTACTGCTTTGACTATGGTTAAACATCTCCAGGTAACACATTGTTGGAAATAAAGATGTATTGTTGGCAAAAAGGAAGAAAAATGCTGATTACTCATCTTTGGCTAGAGAGCAAAATTAGATCATTCCTAAGTGCTTTGAGGTTCTTGGATGAAAGGTGCTTGTAAATACCACAAAGTTAATTACGGGGCTGTTTATGGTCTCAGAAAAATGGAAACAACCTAATATTCAACAATAAGGAAATGGTTAAGGAAATTGTGCCATATCCAATTAATGAAGTATTATTACGTGGCCAATAGAAGGGTTACAAAGAATTGCTGCTGACATGGGAAAGTGGTTATTATGTTAAGTGAAAAAGGCAAGATTAAAAAAATATATATCCAATGTGATTTCATTCATTTGAAGCAGTATAGAAGAGGGGAATAACTCAGTAAATGAACAGTCATTACGTGTAAGTAGTAGAATTGTGGGTTATTTTTGTTCTTTTCTGTAGATTTTCCATATTTTTCAAGTTTCATAAAATGAATAGTTTATTACTATCACAAATTCTTTGACATTTGTTGAGGATTTCTTTATGGCTTAGTTTGTGGTTAGGTCTCATAAATATTCCATATATGTTTGAGAACATATATTCTGTAGGGATCAGTATTCTGTATCATCACTGAGATATACCATGTTAATTGCTTTGCTCAAATCTATTTCCTTATTGATTTGTCTAGTTGAGCTATCAATTACTGAGGGAGTATGTAAAAATATCTCAAAATCTGATAGTGGATTCTTGTCTAATTTTCCCTGTAGTTTTGTCAATGAGGCAATGCTACTAGGTACATATAAATTAATATTGTTAGATCTTCTGAGTTGAATTAAACCTTTAATCAATATTATCACTTTCTTTACTTTTAATAAAGCTTTTTAACTTTAAGGTTCATATCAGCTTGCTTTTCATTAGACTTTGCCTGATAAATTTCAACCTTTCTATATCTGCGTGTTTTAGCTGTATCTTTTGTAAAAACATATATGTTTAAATCCAGTTTGGCAGTCTTTGTCTTTTAATGGGATCATTGAATTCATTTAGATTTATTGTAATTACCGATGTACTTGGATTTAGGTTATCATTTTTTATGTATGCTTTCAATTTGTCCTGTCTTTTTCGTGAGTGTTTTTTTCTCTTCTTTCTCACTTTTTTTTTTGATTGATTTTCCCCCCTTCTATTCTTTCTTCCTCTATTAGTTTAGAAGTTACATCACCTACTTGTATTCTTTTAGTGGATACTCTAGAAATTTTAGCATGCAAACTTGAACTTGTTAAGGAGAAATCAATGTCTATCTTCCCTTTGAAAAATCTCAGGCAATGAGATGAAGGGAGAGAAGACAGCAGTGAAGGCTTCCTTATTCTGAGTGGACTGGGCCATGGGTCAGAAAGCCTTATGGTAGATATGCTGCCCTTCCAACAGCTGGATATAAAAGAACAAATTAAAGCCTATTTCATGATGCTGTTAATTCCGAAAGTGAATTTTTTGAGTCATTCTTGCCATACGAAAATCATAAAAGAATGTAAAAAATATTTTCATGCAGAATGTGCAATATTTCTGAAAGATAAGCAAGTTCAAGGCACTTATTTACATCAAACAAATGAAAGCTACTTTTATAGATAATTCTTTTCTAGCCATTGATTAAACAGGTTTTTAAAGATTTACACCAGGCAACATTCCTTAGTCTTGTTTGTTACATTAAAATATATATATATATAACACATCATTTTAGCGTGTTTAGATGAACTTTTGACCAAGCTGCAGACATGGATCTCACTGTATTGCATCGAACCTGCTCACGACCCTTAAGTGGGCAGCAAATGGGATCATCCCTCCAACCCCCTTGAGTTAGTAAATGTTCCCTCTTCTTTATGAGTTTATTGAAATATCTCTTTTCCACTTCCCCCAAAGGACAGCCTTCTCTACCTCAGGGAGGAAGAGAAATATATACCACAATGGTGGAAATCCACTAGATGTGTGCAAGAAGCTGCCTTCCAGCGCTGGAGAGGACCGAGCCATACTGTTAGGGTTTGCAATGATGGGCTTCTCCGTTCTAATGTTCTTCTTGTTTGGAATAACCATCCTAAAGCCTTTCCTGCTCAGGTAAGAAACAGAATTTCCAATTCAGGTCAGATGTAGGCACGAGGGCTTTGGTTTTTGCTGCCCTACTGACCGCTGTCTAGGACACGGAAGATAGTATCGCCTGTTCCTCTCTCAGGGCTGAAAGGCAGCCAACTGTGGAGGAAGAGGTGGTAAGGATGTGGAAGATGTTTCCTTGCCTCTACCCTCCTCCAATCTCAGAAATACTTTCAACAACTAATTCACAAATTATATATTCATGGAGATAGTAAATCCTTTTTTTAAACATGCAGGTATCTCAGGGAAGGGTTAGTTTAAGCCTTTGACATGAGCACAATAAAAGTTTCTGCATCTGAGATATTTGAGTTTGACAATGTTTACTGGAACATAGTAGTTTTAAAATAAATATTAGTTTCCTTCCTTTTCTTTTAATTAGTTTCCTTATTAGATACTTGTAATCATAGTTACCATTTATTAAATATATAATATATGACAAATATATACTATGTTTTATCTTATTTAAACCTACAGCAAACCCATGATGGAAGCATTATTTAAATTTTTATTTTATAAATGAGAAAGCTGAGTCTAAGAAAGACCAAGCAACTTGCCCAAGGTCACCTAGCTAGTAAAGAATCTGCCTGTCATTCTGACCTAAGACACCTTGCCATCTAATACATAAATGAAGTTTACTGTGATGAGAGGGATGGGAGTATTGATTAGGGCAGAAGAGGAGCTGTTTAATTTTGGAGGATGGCTCACACCACATGAAGTACTTTGTGGAGAGAGCAGTACTGAGAAAGCAAAGGACACATTTCCCCCTTCTATTGCTCTAGCCAAAGAGCAATAGAAGACCCAACAATAAGGGAAGAGGGAGGCCTAGGGGTTCAGTGAGGAAAAGGGATCATAGAAAAAGGAGTGAGTTGCCTGTTTCTGTTATCAGATTCATCTCCCGCCATTCCTGTGTTAACATTATTAGGGCAATAATGTGGAGGTCACCAGCTACTACAGCACACAGTGCCACTCTTAGAAAGATCCCAGGGAATTTTCTCTCTGGTATTAGCACCAGGAAAATCTGTTTTGCCCCTGATCGATCGGCTTATTTTTATTCAATGGACACTAGGAAACTTATATCTGGTTGTGTTTCCTTTATTGTTTTGGCTGTCTGGAAGCTGAGAGCCAAATTTGTAGCCCAGTTCTTATAACTAAAAGGAATCTTAGGATCTGAGGGTTACATGTTTGTACCTCACTCTTGACCTTATTCTAGCTTTCTACTTTTTTTTCCTGTTACTCCATTTTATATCTATCTATCTATCTGTCTATCTATCTATCTATCTATCTATCTATCTATCTATCTATCTATCTATCTGTCCGTCCGTCCGTCCGTCCGTCCGTCCGTCCGTCCGTCCGTCCGTCCATCCATCCATCCATACATCCATCCATCTATCTATCATTGCTATCATCATCATAATCATCATCATCATCATCGCCTATCTCTGCATTACATGAATTTAATAAATCTATGTGTGTGTGTGTATGTTTGTGTGCAGGTCAGATTATTTTTTAAAAATTTGATATACTTGGGAGATGGTTTGAGGATATCTTCTGCAAATTGGCACCAAATTGTTGCTTATATTTAAATTTTACTTTTCTGGATTTCTGGAAATTGTTTGCTTAAAGTAATTAAGTGAATGCTTAAGAGTGATGAATTCTCATCTCTCTCACCTTGTGATCTTGTGCCACCAGAAAGCAGTTTGTCTCCATAAGATGATAGTTAAGAGGCTTAGGAAGCTCATACCTATTCCCACTCCTTTAAACACTCATTTCTCAATCGAATGATTGATTTTGTCTATTTGTAGATAAATAGACACACAATGCTGTTGAAAGAACATGTTCATTTTTTTTTCAGCCCTAAATTTATCCCTAGTCCCACCTGAAACGCTCTGGCCTGGCCCTTGTGCAGAGGAAAGAATGTCCCCGCTCTCTCTATTGGAGCTTCCAGAAATCTTCAAGAAAGATTCAAATCATAGTGTGTTCAGCACTTGGTTAGGATTTAGAGAGCTTAAGTTCGAACACAGATAAGCAGACAACTCTAAGTATTATTTTAAGATGCCTAGACTAAATAAGTATAGAAATTAATTTTGTGAAAAAGTAGGCCAGTACTAAACCTGTGAAAAAACTTTATTTTCCATTTTTATTCTTTCACTTGACCAACATTTTATTCTTCTGAAGCCACGTCCAGTGATTTTTTTATGTCCTGGGCCTTAAGATCATGTTAAGCTGCACTGTGTCTCAGGTTTGTTGTATTAAAAAAGCAAAATGATAATGTGTGATTAAAGATTGTAATGGGAGTGCAGTATGAACCTAGCTAAACAATGCTTTTCAAATGTTCTGACTTTAGGATTTGCTACTCTAACTCCTTGTGATTAAGGCACCAGGAAATAAACACAGGGACCCACTTAGATGTGAGTGTGGGGATACATGAGGAGCTTGTGAGTGTGGGGGGACCATGAGGAGCTGGTCCTGTACATTCAATCAAAGCATTCACGCTCACCCTCATTTTCTTTATCTTAGACTTGTTCTCTAATTATTTCATACACATATATCCTTTCTCTTCAACACCATCACAAAGTCTTCATGGGCAGGAATTTTGTCTGTCACTTCTCATTGCACTTATGACATCCTGTGTAGGTCGTATATATGCAAATTCTCAAGGAATACTTTCCAACTGAAATTCAGTTGAGCACACCACTTACTGAGCCTTTACTATGTGAGAGGCATTGTGCTTTAAGCTTTGAGGACCATAAGGGTGAATGAGATATAGGTCCTGACCTCAAGGAATTACTGACAGCAAAAACATGGTAAGTTTTTAAATGAGAGATTGCTCATATGATTTGCATTTGCTTCTTTGGAAGTGGAGTGGGTAAATGGAGTTGGAACTTGTTACCAGAACTTTTGGAGGCTGCGCTGACTAAGAGCCCTGTGGTTGGTCTCCTTCCAAAAGGCACGTTTCCATCAGGACGAGCCAGTGGGTACATTTGAGATGATGAGGCCTGAGAGATGATAAGATTTCTGAGTGTGTGTGAATCTTATGGTTACAGTATTTAGGGTAATATTGCTCAGCATATGGTTCTCCAAAGACCTGCATCTTAAATATTGTTAAATAGATTCCTGGGCCTCAATTCAGATCATCTGAAATTGAATTTCTGGGAGTGAAGCATAGAATCCACATTTTAACAAACTTTTCTAACAAACTAACAAACTCACTCGGTAATTCTGAAGTTTGAAAACCATTGATCTATGGGTTGGTGCAGTGAGAAATATGCCAGAAGGGTCATAATTGAGATGGAATTTGGCAATTTGCTCCTATTTATTCCCTGTCTCAATGTCTTCCATTCTCCCTAATCATTGTGTGTCTTCCTTAATGGTCCTGCATTACCTCGAAATAGACAAATGCCTCAGGTTATCACATTAGAAATATGAAACTAAATTTTCTAGATGCTGAAGATCATTTATTTTTTGAAATTGAAGCACTCAGAGAGAAGAATCGAACTGCACTATCGTCCACACACATATCATGGATGACTGGATGGACTGTGCTTTCACCTGTGGCACGGACTGCCAAGGTCAGGGCAAGTACCCATGTCTTCAGGTGTTTGTGAACCTCACCCACTCAGGTCAGAAAGCTCTCCTGCATTATAATGAAGAGGCTGTCCAGATAGATTCCAAGGTAATGTGAAGTTCATGTAATTAAAAAGTTCTACTTACAGCACCCCTTCCATGCCAGACTGTCCCTAGCATGGTGCAGTATCCAGGGCCATCTCTAGGGATAAATCTGTTTCCTTCTAGTTAATGTTTTGATAGTGGTCAAATTAGAATAAATGGAGCTAAAAGCATTCCTGGAGAAAAATGGGGCAAATAGAAAGGGGAGAAATTTTTCCATTTTCACAAATTAGTACCTGGAATTTACAGGCTGAGCCAATGAATAGAGTCCTCTGTGGGCAGTCTTACTTTTGGAGGTCTGTCTCACTCCTCATCATATCAAAAATGTTAAAAGGTATTCACAGTCCACCTTAAATCAAATAAGTAATTTTTCTTATCAAAGAAATTTAAAGGATTATTATAATTTTGATTTTAATATGTTACTCAACTGGTTCATATGACAAAGTGTATACTTTACTTTATACCTAACTATCAAAGTTGAATTGCAGTAGATTAGTTGACAAGTTACCCTTTATTGTCTTTACTTAAGCACCAATTTTAATCTGATGATTTCTGTTTTCTCTTTTGGATGCAATAATTTTTAAGGTTGCAAACATTTTCGTAGGCCCTTGGTATGGTACCTTGATTGCCTAGAGGATATGGTAGTAAAGCTCAAGCTTTTTCGAATAAGCTTTTTTGAAAAAAACACCAGCTGACAGAGCTCCCTATTTATCCACTGGTTCTGCCTCCCAGGAAGCGGAGTCAGGTAGTGCCCTTCTTTATGGGCCCAGGGAGAAAGCCTCAATATGCTAATCCT